GTGTGATGTCATGTGTATTTTTTTGTAATTCTTTCTTTTGAAAACACCAAAAACAAACAATTGACCACTAGCAAATTTCAGGAATTTTAAAAATTTTATGGTCTATAATGATGAAATCAGCAAATGATATTAATCCTAACTTAAAAAACCTCAGCATTTAAACTTAGTGAAGCAATCCCTGAATCTGAGAAAAATGAAAAAAATTCTCTAAGCAAACAGAAGTTATTTACATGATTAATCAATTATGTCACGAAAAAATATTTAAGGATTTAAAGAAATTCTTTTTTCTTAAAAAAAAAAAAATTGAAGTGCCAGCCCGCCCTAGCCCGCGGCCCTCTTAGGACTAGGTTGTGCTGGCCATTTTAACGCCCGTTCATGTGGCGGGCCGGGCCGTCCTAGCCCTCCAAATTTAAAAGCCCATGAGGCTTGGGCTGGGTTGGGCTGGCCCGTTTTGACAGCTCTAGATACGACCCTTTTCTCTTTTCTTTTTTCCTTTTTTTTTTTTACCAAAACAAGAGAGATGCTTTTCCTAAATCTATCCCATAATATGGTTAAAGATACTTATACTTTAATTTATTTTAAATTTTAAATGTTCATATAGAACAAGTATTACTCAGATTGTTATTGTAATATTACATGTTTTAAGTATGTATATATATATATATATATATATATATATATGTATGTATGTATGTGCTGTGTGCATATCATTTCTATCCTATTCTCTATTGTCTATATAGATAAACGAGTTTTGATCATCATTAATGGAATATTTTCTAACTTTTAACTTAACTATTATTTACAACATAAATAGATAAACTTTAAGGAATTTGTTATGAAATCTACCTCTATTTTATTAATTATTTTTGTATTAACTAGGATGAGATATATTTATAAAGATATTACCCTCTTTTATTTTCACTTGTGTAAATAGATATATATTAGAATTTTGATTGTCATTAATAAAATTAATTTTTTATTCTGCTTATTTATTTCATTATAGAACGTCCTTAACTTATATTCTTAGTTACTGTTTCTCACTTTTTTCATCTAAAAATAATATTTCTTTTTATATAGGTAAGTTATTCACATATTAAAAAGGAAATGATTTAAAGAAGTAAAAAAGAAAAGACAAAGGTTGATAATATACGAATAAAATAAGCATTTTAAAAAGTCAATAAACATATGGGGCTTAAAAGCAAAGTGGGGGGTATAAATGATTTTCATAATCAAGTAAATTCATATGTTTGGTTTTATCTAAATCTACAATTATTTTAATGAAAATATTTCTCCTTTAATTAAGATAATCTTTATTTAGATGTTAAAAAAATGAGAATAATGATCTTAGATTTCAAAATTTGTGGGATACGTGATTTCTTTTCCAAAGTTGGAGGGACGATTTTCCAGAATCTATCCCCATAATATGGTTAAAATACTTATAAGCTAATTTAATTTAAATTTTAAAACTTCAAATAGAGCAAGTATCACCTATGTAAACGATTTTCCCCCGTAATAATAGCGTCTGATGAAAATGGGACAAAGCTAAATAGTTAATACCATTTGCTTCTCTGTAATTCTTAGCAGGGGTGTTCATAAAAATCCGAAAAATCGAACCAAACCGAAAATCAAATCAAACCAACCAAAAAAGTCGATACATTTTGGTTTGGTTTGGTTTTGATTTTGAATATTAAAAACCAATCAAATTTGGTTTGGTTTCGGTTTTAGTCACAAAATAATCGAAAAAACCAACTATAGGAGTAGCTATTTCAAATTTATTATTACACCTATAATATATTTTTATACAAAGTTTCAATTTTTTTATGATAAATGTTAATCTTTTGCACTTTTAGTATAGTTCTTTACCTTTACATTATAGTTTGATTGGTAATTTTCTTTTGTTAAGTATAAGAATCCATTTTATGTTAAAAAAATATATTTTTAATTGAGTCCTTAAATTATTCATTACTATTTGATTCAATTATCATCAATATATCTTAGTAAATAATAGATTTTTCAAAGAGCAATTGATTTGATAGTGTTACATTGAAAATGTGGTCGCCAGAATATGTGTTTGATGGTGTATGTCTTATATTTAAGAAAAAAATCGACAAACAACCGAAAAAACTGAAAAACCGATAAAATCCGACATAAACTGAATCGAGAAAAAATCGACTTAACTAATTTGGTTTAGTTCTAATATTTGAAAAACTGACTTAGTTGGTTTGATTTCTTTTTAAAACCGAACTATATTCTTTAGTTTGTAAATTGCAACAATAATTGACAACTTCCTGTTTGCGTTCCTTCCAAGAGAAGCTGAGGAGGACACGACCGACGGACTGTTCATTGAAAATCTTGTGATTCCTGTATTGCCCCTCGAAGCCACAAGAAGCAACTCTTATTTAAAACGTTATAATCTGATGTCAAATCCGTAATTCCATTCAATACAAATCCTTCTTCAAAATTTTATGTTTTTTCTTTTTTGGTTTTTTGGTACATAAACAGACCAGTGTCACGTTGCCGAAGTAAAAAAAGTTTGCGCAGCTATGGCAGACAAAGTGGCAGAAGAACCAAGTGTGATCAATAAAGGAGAAGAGAAAAGGATACCACATTACTCTTCATATCAAGAAATATTGTTAGTGGGTGAAGGAGATTTCTCTTTTTCTCTCTGTTTGGCTCACTCTTTTGGCTCCGCTTCCAACATTGTTGCTTCCTCTCTTCAATCTTATGGTATTATATCCATTTTCACTCTATTCTCTTTCTAGGCTGTTTTTATTTTACTTAATATTTGATGGGGTTTTCTCAAAATCCCAACTTTGGTGTTTCTTTTTTTGGCCCTTTTAGAAGAAGTGATCAAAACGTACAAGAATGGAAAATCGAACTTAGAAAAGTTGAAAGCTTTGGGAGGAACTATATTGCATGGCGTGGATGCCACAAAACTGCAGCATCATACTGATATCAGTAACCGGAAATTCCATCGGATTATCTTTAATTTCCCTCATGCAGGTTTCTATGGCAAAGAGGACAATAATCATCTGATCCAGTATGACTCCCTCTTTTTCTTCTTGGATACCTTTTTTACTACTTTTCTTATGCCTTATAATGTGTATGTAACATATTTTTCCTGGAATTTTTTAACAAGGGTTTTACCTAGTGTTATAGATTCAATAGGAGAGTCCAACCCAAAAGACCAGTCTGTTAGTATTTCTCTTTTTAATCATTGAGGGACAATTGGCACACAATATACATTCGCTCCCGCTTGAGGACCAAGTCAGGGCTGGCATCTTAGTTGGTCACGGTTGGTACCCCTCGTGGTTCCCGGCCACCACTCTGAGTCGCCGATTTCATTCGACCTGCTCCGTTACCAATTGTTATAGATTGAACAAGAGATCCCTACCAAAAATACTAGTCTATTAGGTGGGCAAGCCCACTCAGCCTATAAACACATTAGTGTTTCCCTTTTTAATCGATAAGGGACATTTGGTGCACAATATTAGTGACAGAGTTACCAGGTAGCTGCGCTGCAGTTGCTGGTGAAATAGTCGAGCTGCACTTACACTGCCCTTGAGAAAAAAAATGGGTAGAAGTTGGAGAAAGATGGATTTCGTTTTTTAAATTAATGCTTCTACTTTTCAACTCATATTTAGTATAAATATATACATTTTAACCAGTTTTTTAACAACTACATTTGAGTTGAAAACAATGTGTGGAGTACCTCTGAGGATATAGGAATGGAGTAGGGTGGTTAGGATATCAATATTGAAGATTTGCTCAAGTGATATGTAGTTAGATTTTGTAGGGGACTTGTACCCTTATATCACAAAGTTGTTTTCTTCGATCTAAGACGAGCAAATATTGTAAAATGATTTCATCAACATAACCTACCGAACGCACCGTTAGTTATGTCCATCTCTTCGTGCCGTAGCCAGTTTCTTTTTGGCTCATTTTGGCCAATTTTGATCATGCTGGGAAGGAATAAATTTCGGGTGCTGAAAGTGTTAGCTTTTGCCCTCAGAGACTAGACTAGTTGCTTAATTGGCTTTTCTTGCACTGGACTTTGCCTTTTCTTAATGTAATGCGTGTTTTTTTCTATCTGTAGAATGCATCAGAATCTTGTGGCAGGTTTTATGGGGAGTGCAAAAGAGAGGTTGCGAGCCGATGGTCAAATTCATGTTACCCATAAAACGACTGAACCATTCAACCTATGGGATCTTGTTGGACTTGGATCACAAAACTCCTTGAGTTGTATCAATTGTGCTGATTTCAAGATTGAAAATTACCCTGGTTACAACAATAAATATGGAGCTGGCTCGAAATGTGATATGTCTTTTCCACTGCGTGAGTGCACTACTTTCATGTTTATACTCAACCCAACTAGTAAGAGTATGCATAAAACGAAACAAAACAAACAACAAAAGAGAAAACGCGAGTATTTACATATGCCATCTCAGAAAATTCAAAAAGTTTCCAACTCCATAAGTCCTCCAATTTACCCCTTCCAGCAACAACTAAGTTCGATTTACAGTAGAACTTCTCCAACTTATCTCAATGACATGAACGGTTTTCCAAGTTATGCTGGTTTACCTGCAAGGCATGACCACGGAAGTAAATGTTTTAGGATCTTCAAGAGGAATTTCAGTTATATTCAACAAACATTTGGAAGAAAGGACATTGATGTTGAAGTTGCAGTTCGTAAAGCTCTGCAGCGTGCTTCTTTGATGTTCAGGGCCGAGAATGGGTGGCTCCCTGACCCCTACTTGAAAATTTTGGAAGAGCTTCAATTTTGGAAGCAGTCAAGATTTTTCAGGTTAGAACAGATGCTGCTAGATATCGATCGAAGGCTGTATGAGCTACAGGGTATGGGATATTACCTATAAATTATTATGTCTGTATAGTGAATATTGGATATTTATATCCAAGCATCTGTTGTTAACTTAAGTGCTACTATTCTCCATATCTTTCTACCAATAATCTCTAGAAAGGTTGTTTGATAAGGTTGAATTATGGGAGAAAAAGTTTGACTTGCTCTATAGTTTGATTGTTGACTAACTAGTATGCTTGATATTAACTATAGTTTGGTAACCAGTGTTTTCTAAAGAGGTTCTTTTGATAACGTTTAATTATGTGAAATGATCTAGTAATATGCTTTAAACTAACTGTAGTCTAAATCTAATACGAGTGTTTTAAATACATTCTAAACTGTCTCTGTTAATTGCTGTGTGTTGCCAATAGAAATTAGGCTTAAGTGGCAATGATCGAGGTTCTTTACCGGAGATTTTATCAGTCTCTGGTAAATATATGAAGCGAGTAAGAAAAGAAAAAGCAAAAGGCAGGTTGCACCAAATTTCCAACTCCATGATAGAAGTTCATATTAGAGTAAATTTCACTTATCTTTGAACAACAATACTTTCTTCCCCTTGTGAATGGGATCAATAATTCCCTTGACTCAAAATTCAACGGGTGAAAAATAAAAAATTGCCATCGGAAAAATTTAAAAAGTCGAGACAATCCTTTTTTAGAGAATTTTGGTACTACAAAGTTGTACTTTCTACCTTATGTTAAAAATTCTTGTGAAATGTATCTTAGATGAAAGAATTTGGTCGGTCTCATATTTTTCCAATTGGATCCATGAGTTGTTTATAGGCCGAATAACCAAATAGACAGCTCTACTTGTCGCGTTTTATCATCCTGCCCCCCTTATTTCACGAAGTTCCATTCGAACATCTGAACCTGTTCAAAACAACTTTTTTAAATCCCTTATTAATTTTTAAAATATCTTGAGTAAATTTGCTTAACATGCATCCTAACCATCAAAGGGATTAATTTTGGGAAGACACTCTCTAACTTTAGAAAGAAAATCTCACATTCAAACAAATTCTTACACCGATTAATATCATTTACTTCGGTCTAATTTTTTTTGATCAAAATTCAAAGTTATCTTAACCATAGGAAAACTAAAATTGGATACGTAATCTCATTTAGCCATATCGGAGAGTGCTTTCCTAAAATCCATCCAATAACTATAGTCTATCGCTAGTATGTTTGTTAAGTTTATTTGATTCAAATTTAAACTTTTAAAATAATTTGACTCATTTAACAAGTGTCACTTATTCGACTGATGAACTGAATACTTGGGAAAAGAAGCAAAATTTACAGCTTGTTTGGAAAGCCACCTTGAAAATGAATTTGGGTGTAATTGGGTGTAATTATGCAGTTTGACATGTTTTTTTGGCCAAGTAATTACTTGGTCAGCATGGAATTGGATGTAATTGGAGGGGTGTAATTACACTCTCCAATTCTCAAGGAGAAGATGAGAATTGATGGTAATTACACTGTGTAATTACAAGGTTGCCTTTTAGTTTCTTTCCTTTTTGTTTTTATTTTAATTTATTTTCTTTATAACTTTTTATTTCTATTATTTTATTTTTTTAATTTTATTTTTACTTTTTAGTTTCTTTTGAAATTATAAAATATATTCTTCTTTGTACATTATTTATCTTTTATTTCTCTATCTTTACTTCTCGTGATTCCATGTAATTGCTTACTATATTTTATTTTATATTTATTTTATTATTCTATTTTTTTAAACTACACCTCCTAATATTAAAAATAATGAGTCATTAACAAACTTGACATATAATGAGTGATGCAATTAAAGTAAAATTTCATTGTTGAATGTGGTTATAAACTTATCATGTTTCCTAATTATTAAGTTGCACTGGAACTTACTATTATTATATTGAAATTTGATATATGTTAAACTATTTTATTTTTTTTGAATTTTGAAATTGTGTTATATTCATGATTCAAATTTACTTGTTTTAGTAATATTGGCTCACATTGCATGTTGTTCATTTTTAGTTAGAATTGATAGATTAGTTTTGTCAAACATTTGAATAATGTTATGACATTATATTTGTAAATATTAATTTATTTTATAAAACATGAATTCCATGATGTTCTTACAAAACGTATTCTTTTTTATTTTTGTAAGTATCTATACTAAATATTATTAATTTAAAAAATATATAAAAATTATTTTTACAATATTAGTTATAAATATATGATTACTAAATTAATGTATAGGAATATATTTATTATATACATCTTAAATACAAAACATAATATCATTTATACTTATAAACATTTATAGGCATATACTTATTATATTAACTTTTAAGTTTTGATAATTACTTAATTTAAAATTTAATCTAATTGTATAATTACACTTGTGCAACCAAATAGTAAACTTGTAATTACACTGTAATTATACTATGACAAACAAACAGATCGTCGTAATTACACAACTATGTAAGTACTAGGTTGTAATTACTGCCCTAGTAATTATATCAATTCCAATTACATGGTGGCTTTCCAAACAGACTCTTAATATCATGTGTCAAATTTATACTAGCCAATTTCAGTTTCATAAATTGCATCAGTAATTTGAAATTTCTTTGATTTATTCCTTCCAAAAGTAAAGCTTACCCGAAAGTCTTGGGGTGATGATATTGTTGCCCCCCCCCCCCC